GACAGACTGTTGTAGGCTTCAATATTTCTTTATTATCACGTCAATTGAGGATCTATTTGTGAAGGCTTCACCGTTTTATTAAGCTAGTTGTGAAATTGTTGTAGATAAATTAATTTCACTACTATAATTGAATAAAGCTATTAGAAAGTTATCCCAAACAGGCTTTGTGCCTAAAATTAGAATTGAATGAGCCACACTTTGCTAAGATCAATTTCTCCCTTCAATTTTCATTGAGATTCGTGCCCAATCAAGTTGGTTTTTATGTAACATATATTTTGTCCTCTATTTTTTAAGCATCGAAGCTTGTGTTGTCCAAAAATAAGAATATTCAAACAAATTTCTATCACCTCCGAAGAAATGTAAACGTTTGGCTTCGGAAGAGCTCAAAAGGCTCTGAAAGCTCGGCCTCCGAACCGTACGTGGGACGAGTGAATAAACCACAAAATTATTAGTTTTATTTTAAAAATATAATTATTTATATATTATACTCTTTTCAAAATATATCTATCAATTTTAAAACTAATTATAAACCTAATCTTATTCACAACACAAAGAATATGACTTTGATACTTCTTTTTTTTTGGAAGAAAAAAAGGTCATAGCATTACCCGTTCAAGAGATAATTAAAACCTTCCCTCATCACCTTTCTCATTAATTTGATGTGAGAAATTATGTTGATAACGAAGAGAGGTAGCATTCCTAACTAAAACACACATGGATTATAATTTTTTATTGGAATATTTAGACTAATTAAGGCAAATTCACACACACAACACATGCGTAAAACTTGAGCCCAAGACCTATTAATTGATAGCCAAAGCTCCCAATCAACTGACCAAGACAAGCTACGTCAAGTGGATTACAAGAGCTACGTCAAGTGGATTACAACTTGGTGATGTGCTTTTAAGCACTAACTTTTGTACTACAATTCATAGAGCCAAGCAAGAGGAAATTAATGCGATAGATTCAAATCTAGCTAGTGATAGATTTCCTTTGGTTGTCAAATACTAAAGACCAAAAAAGAAAAAAAACATAAAATAGGAAGGCCAGAAATTAAGATCAACTTCTTGCTATAAGGGTTTTGAGTAAATTTATTTGTAAAATCTCAAATCCATAACGTCATGTGGAAGTCGGGAGATATTATTCTGTGCGGGCGCCGAACGCAGTTCATCATCCAGAACCAACAAGAATGAGTCATGTCAGCGGTACTGAGCTTGGTACCGTGCCGCGGTACCAAGTAGTACCGAGCCGGGTACCAAGCAGAAGGTGACGTTACACATTCTGTTTAGTCTCCGAATAACGTTTGACATCCGCACAGAATAATTTCATGGAAGAGCCACTGCTCTTAAGTGAGTATAAAGTGAGCAAAGTGGTCAGTTGAGTTGTTTGGTTGGCGAAAATAATAGCTCATTGTTAAGAAATGCTTTCACCAATATCTTTGATTTGTTGCCTGAGAAGAGCTATGTCATGAGAAAATTTGAAGGGCTTTAAGACACATATAAATCATTTTTTATCATAATATAATCATACAAAGGTTTTTAAGTAAATAAAACTCATAAAGGTGATTGAGGATATCATTACAACTTTAAGATAAATTTTATAAAATTATAATTAGTCCAATTATATATTTATATATATAAAAGTGCACAATGACTAAACTAACTACATAAAAATAAAAATATTAAGTCAAATATATGATCAAATTATGAAATATAAATTAAGGAATGATAGTTATAACTAATAAACTATATTTCTAATACATTATTATAAAAAATATAATTTAGCTGTTTGAACATGTAAAGATTGATACGCCATGCAAAAATTATCTTGATATGGCACGAATCTCGAGGCAAAAATCAAGTTGGAAACTTCAAAAGTTAAATCCGGAAGCACATGAACTCCGATTTCAGTAAACTTACAGTCAAACTGAGCGTCTCGGAAATACGAACCCAACGACACCAAGATCAACCCAATCCGAGCCCAAATGAGTCTGAATCAAGGGCTCAAAGCTCTGTTGGAAGGTTTAATCAGCAATTTGAGTTACCAAACGGTCTCCGATTTTGACGAGCTTATACTCGAATCGAGCGGCTAGACGAAACGAATCCAACGAGCCCAAGATCGCCAAATTCCGACATCATTAAGGCCTTTAAATTTCCAACGAACGGTGCATGATCAAAGGATTCGATATTGGCCATCCATTCAAAACACTCCCAATTCGCCCATGATCTCGCGCCTATTTACGGGCTATGCCACTCCAGAAAAACTATAAATAGAGCCCTCATTCTACACCAAAGTGAATCAAGTGAAGAGAGAGAAGAAGAAGAGGAGAAAGGGGAAAAGGAGATTCCTCACCTCCTCGACCACCACCGGAGCTCTTCCTGCCGCCTGAAGACGCCAGAACTATGTCGGATATTCGGGAGAACGCCAGAATTCTGCCCAACTTTCATGAGATGCTGAAATTCTTCCCAATTTACAAGAGAATTCCCTCCTGACGCCGAAACTCCGCCCAAGTGAAGCCGGAGTTCTCTTCTGCCACCAAAGACAACGGACTTCTACCCGACGTCGGACCTTCACTCTTCGCCAAGTTTCTACCCGACGCCGGACTTCTACTGGTTATCAATCTTCGCTGGACCTCTATGCGAAGATGCATTTATTTCCATTACTGGACTTCTACCTGACGTTGTCCTACTGATCTTCGTCGTCAGACTACAGTCCTTCCGACCTCCGTCGCCAGCCGACTACGGTCCTCTTGGCTTATGTCGCCCGCCGACTACAGTCTTTCCGACCTCCGTCGCCCGCCGATTACGGTCCTCCTGACTACATTCTTTCCAACATCCGTCGCCCGTTGGATACGGTCCTCCTGACTTATGTCGCCCGCCGACTACAGTCTTTCTGACCTCCGTCGTCCGCGCGCCGACTACAGTCCTCCTGACTTACTTCGCCCGCCGACTACAGTCCTTCGTCGCCAGCTGACTACGGTCCTCCTGACCTACGTCGCCCGCCGACTGAAGTCCTTCCAACAAAGCGAATACGTCGATAGTAGCTCTTTGTATTTACATCATGTAATGTACTACATAAGATGTACATCAAGCTAAGGCCTTCTCCCAAGGAAGGGCCTCATTTGTAATCAACTACAAATACTAGTGGATTCGTTCGAACTGGGCTAGGCCTCGTGGTTTTTCCCCCTTTTTACAGGGGTTTTCCACGTAAAAATCTTGGTGTCTCATAAATGCTAGACCCACTCTCCTTATCTGATTGCGTGCCGGATTTTCGTACAATGCTAAGACGTTAAATATGATATTTCTTTACCGTCGCGAATACTCCTGGACGCAACAAAGATGATTTTAAAGATGATAAAATCAAGCTGGAATAAAGTTGGATCTAATGTGCACTATTTGTCAAATTCATTTTCAATCGCAAGCTTAGACTCATTGATATTACAACGCCAATATAATTTTTTAATTGTACAATGAATGATCAAATTCAATACACATAATGTATTTTAATATACAATTTAATATATAACAAATAAAATGAATGCTAAAAAAATATGAAGAAAAAAATCAATCTAATATAAAAAAATATGATGTTCCGGAGCTCTCCGAGGAAGGGGTTAATAAAGTTTATTGAGAAAAGGCGTCAATGAAAATGGTAGCATGTGAATGGGCAAATTATTAGATCCGGTCACTGGACCTAATAATAGGTCCGGACATCCAATTAAAACTTGCCACTTCGCCTGCACTTTGACTGCGCTTTTTGACTTCGCTTTAACTGTACTTTGGCCGTGCTTTACCTGCGCTTTGATTGTACTTTACCTGTGCTTTACATGCACTTTACATGCGCTTTTGACGCGCTTAACTTAAAAATAATATTTTATTAGTATCCGGATGTATCTCTACGTTCGGTGACTGAACCTAATAATTTGCAATGTGAAGGAGGGCCGCGTTTGCGCCAGGAGATTGCTGGGGAAAGGACTTGACCGAACTAATATTGTGTGGAGAAAGGGATTCATGGTTTCAGTTTGTTGCAGGAAAAACTTGCTAGGAACGATAATGTATGAAGGAAAGTGGGGTTAATGATGGGAGTTTGTAGATGCGATTTGTTATGTGTAAATAAGAGATGGGTTGGGATATGCGATCACTAAAGAAAGACTCTGTAGATTTGATGATGTGAAGGAGGGAGAGGCTCCAACAATATCCGAATTCTAATATATTCAAATCAATTTCAAATAATTCAATTTCAAAAGTCTGTCCATGAATACAAAAAGTTTTCTTATATTTAGAATAATTTCATTTGAAATAAACATTTATATATATTTCTCTAAGAAAAAATGATGATGATGATGTATATATATAACACCAATCAGAAACCGTCACGTCATTTAATGTACAATTCATATCTAATATGACGGCTCCTAATTAACCTCAGAATGCGTTTAATATCCGCACGTAATAATCTCTCACATATATGAGGTATAAAAAACAAATTTCTACTAGGCTTAAGGGTCAATAAAATACCAACCGTTGTTCCTCCAGTGTCCCTAGTATTGATACGACATCGCAAGATGTGAAGGAGGGAGAGGCTCCAACAATATCCGAATTCTAATATATTCAAATCAATTTCAAATAATTCAATTTCAAAAGTCTGTCCATGAATACAAAAAGTTTTCTTATATTTAGAATAATTTCATTTGAAATAAACATTTATATATATTTCTCTAAGAAAAAATGATGATGATGATGTATATATATAACACCAAACAGGAACCGTCACGTCACTTAATGCACAATGCATATCTAATATGAAGGCTCCTAATTAACCTCGGAATGTGTTTAATATCCGCACGTAATAATCTCGGTATAAAAAACAAATTTCTACTAGGCTTAAGGGTCAATAAAATACCAACCGTTGTTCCTCCAGTGTCGCTAGTATTATCCAAATTCCAATTAAATAAAATGGATTATTCGGTAAATATCCAATTGGCATAGGGCATTTATGGACATAAATATGCGCAACGGATAAGTCGAAGTTCCTCGAGCTTTGGCTTCCGGTTCTTCTTAGGCTTCACAGCTCTAGCTTTGGCGAGGACTAATAGATGGTAATGGGCATCGGGTAAATAGACAAAAACTAGTTTCTTTTTCTCTTCTTCTTCTACTTTTTATTTTGCTTTAAATCTGTAGAAGAATCGTATTCTAGGATAATCCTTCTTTTCTCATTTAATATCTTGAAATTGCAAAAACAAAATATATTTTTGTGAGTTCTGAGTTGATTATTTAGGGGGAGTTTTTTTTCCGTGGTGCTAGTTTAGGGATTCAATTGGTAAATTTATCTCCAAAAGTTTTCCTGAAATCTCATTGTACAAAATTACTTTCGAAACCTTTGCTTGTCGTGTCAATATGAAAAATATTGAATTGGAAAAATGGAGAAGTGTGATAGCTGGAAACGCCCATTTACTGAAATTATGAAAAGTGGTATATTTGTTGTGAAATCCAAGTTTGGTTCTTTTCCAGAATTAGGGTTTTTTATTTTAGCAGAGCAACTAAAAAAAAACTCCAATTTTGCTATTATATTCTTCTATTCGTCTTCATATATTGTGATTTGACTACGAATATTGTATTATACTGATCTTTTATTGAAATCCTTTAGCAGCTTCTCATGATCATAAAGGGGATATTCAGGAGGTATGAAAGATGGAATCCAGTGCACCCAACGCTGGGTTCATTTTGGGGCATGGGGATTGGAATTGGTTGTGGCGTTGGATGGGGTCCTGGGTTTGGTCCAGAGGTAGTTGGCTATGTTGGTGCCGGCTGTGGTCTGGGATTTAGTGTTGGTGTTACTCTGGCTGGGATTGGGATTGGCCTTCCAGTGAATGGAGTCGATCAAAACCCACACAATGGTGAGTTTTTGCTTTCATGTCTTAAATTACGAGGGAATTTTTATCGATTTTATCCACATTGAAACACTTGATATTCTTTGTTTTGTCATTGATTTTGAAGAGATCATCTGGTTCAAGATGAATCGAGCTAGAAAGAGTAAACTGTTTGTATTAGTCAATTTTCTTATCTTCTTATGTATTTATGAAGATAGTTGCTTTTTTCTTTGTATATTCAGGATGAAATTCATACATTGAGAGAGTGGCTTCATATATATTTTTTTGTTTATGTTGAACCTTCAGCTGATCTTCCTCTTGCGAAATTGGATATTATATATGATGCATTTGAATACTCAATTTTCTAAGAATATCATATGAACTTCATTTAACAAAAGTAGTTTTAATTTTAAACTGACTAAAAATATGGACAAATGGAATCGAAAAGTCAAGCAAATAAAAAACAAATAGATTTGTTAAAAGTTTTTAACTTAATGAAATAACTTTTTGTGAGTTTTGTAATGTGATTTTAGGAGAGAGTTTGACACACAATATATACTAGTTGTTATAGATATATATCTAGAAGTATATGGAAGAATCCCAAAGGAGTAAATGTATTAGGATAAAATGATGGAAGTTGAAAGGTGATAAATCCAAATCTTTCAAAACGGGCTATTGATTTTGATAAATTTGAACTTACAATCTAAATTTAAGTGGAATAATGTGTCTGGTTAAATTAAATAAATTACTATAAATTTTTTGAGATGTTTGCAATATTTTGTATATACAGATACTTAATATTACAATGAAAAATTATATTAATGAAAAGAAAGTTCTCTTAAAAATCTCAAAAAGAGAAAAAGAAAAAAATCAACAACAATAATATTAAGCTTTTATCCCACTACATGGGGTTGACTACATGAATCATTTTTCTTCATTGTGTCCTGTTAAGAGTCAAATTCTCATTTAAATCTAATAAAGAAATCTTATTTCTAAAATTTTATAATCATTTTAGGTCTACCGCTACCTTTCTTAATACAAATTAAATCTAATACATCTACTTTCCTAACTGAGTCAGCAAAAGACCACCGTTTAATGTGACCAAACCATCTAAGGTGACTCTCTCTAATCTTATGTTCCATTGGAGCCACTCCAACCTTTTCACGTATATGCTCATTTCGTATCCTATTTTTAAGAGTAAAATCACTCATCCACCTGAGGATCCTCTTCTCTGCAATACTCAACTTAATATTATGCTTCTCTTTTAATGGACAACATTATGCACCATAAGCATTGCAAGTCTCACCACCATCTTATAGAATTTTCCCTTAAATTTGAGGGGGACTTTTCTATCACACGACAAGTCTGATGCATTCCTCCACTTCAACCATCCAACCTGTATTCTACTAATAATATCCCTATCTATTTCACCATCACTCTTAACAATATACCCAAGTTATCTAAAATGTGCAATGTTATTGATAACTTGATCGTCCAAAGTCAAAATTCCCCACTAGATCTATTATTACTAAAATTTCATTCCATATATTCAGTTTTAGATCTACTTGAACGAAAACCTTTATACTCTAAGGTTGACCTCTATAATTCAAGTTTCCTTTCAACTTTGTCTCTAGTCTTATCAATAAGAAGAATATCATCAGCAAAAAGCATACACCAAGGTACAATCTCTTGCAAATGTCTAGTGAGAACATCCATGACTAAAGCAAAAATATATGGGCTTAAGGCTAACCCTTGATGTAATCCAACTAACATAAGAAAATATTTGGTCAAACCCCCTTTTGTTTGAACACAAGTAACTACTCCTGCATGCATATCTTAAATGATTTGAATATAAGCATTATTAACCTCTTTCTTTTCTAGAACTCTCAATAGCACTTCTCTTGGAACTTTATCATATGCTTTCTCTAAATCAATAAATATCATATTTAGATCCTCCTTGTTCCCTCTATACTTATCCATCAAACCTCTCAATAAATGTATAACTTCCATAGTAGGCCTACCCGGCATGAATCCAAATTGATTTTGAGAAACATTAGTATCACACTGCAACCTGTGCTAAATGAACACTAGCAAAAAAAAGAAGGTGAATGATCCATAGTAGACCACTCCAACCTTTTCGCGTAAACACTTTTTAAATATTTCAACTGAGTTTGATTCTCAAAATTATGAATTGTACCTGTCCATAGGCAAACACACAGCTCTTATATCCAGACATGCAATTTTCAACCATTGGAAGTCCAGCCACTCAAAATAGCATCTCCTGCATGCAAGTTCCAGTGTTTTAAACCAAAGGTGGAGAATAAAGTGTCCGCTTTACAAAGAAATAGTAGAAAACCTGATTGACAGTTTCGCATGCTACATAATCAAACATAAATCGAGTTTCTGATTGTCCAATCCATGTAATACTTTGTGCACTTTCCTGCTTTATGCATCTACTGTAACCATGCAGACTTCTCTCCATGTTGTTGATAGGACGAACTCGAATCACTACCTGAGTAGATAAACACATGGCTTCAGTATTTTCAGTAAAATGGCATACATAACTAGTTTTTTGTGTTGTGTATTTTATGTATTCCATTTTGTAATCAACTGGTAACTCTTACTTGTAAAGAAAATGCATAATGCCTTTGAAGCTATGAAGAACAGAAAAATAAATATTGCAACCTATGTTCAGCATTTTAAGTAGATATCCAGGTTTTGAACTTTTTGGTCAGGTGGCAGTAAGTACAAAATTCGACCAAAATCCAGGGAACTATATTATAAAAATTGTTAATGAAATTCAACAGTCTATTTTCAGTAATACATGTATCCTAATTCCTACAAGCATTTTATATTCCTTACAACTTCATATGCTCGAATCCTTTTCCTACTATTAAACTTCCGAAAAGATGTTGTTAAGAATAAAATAAAAAAAAGGACACGGCGTTTATTGAAGCAATGAGGCCAAGACAAAGAATTGTACCTGTACATTGTGATCCATCCAGGCTCGAAATGAGGCACTTCAGCTGAAGCATAGATTGGTGGAGCTGCAAATGACAATGGTATCCCTTTAGATGATACCAAAAAATCCATCGCGCTTACTGTTCCTCCACACTGTGTAGTGCGAGAGTTGCTAAGCCCATTGAACATGGGCTTAGTAATGCTCTTGGTGGGCGTGCTTTGCGTCGTGCTTGTACCATAATGAACTGATGAGGCTTTCCCACCAGTTGTAAAGGAGCGCGTAGTAGCAACACAGTAATCATTCCCAATGTTCTGCGGATGGATCGCCATTAGCGGTGCTAGGGGTGGAAACTGGAATGATCCATGATTGAACGAATAATCTATACTCTCCGGAGAAGTCAATCTTGGTTGTTCGCTCTTTGGGACCCATCCAAACCTGCCCTTACCCACTGCCAATTTTTCCGGCGTGCATAATTGGAAGAACTGATTTGACCCTTTCGTGTGGCTCTTAGAAGGGGTTTTTTGGTTCCTCCTCCTAAATGAGTTTCTTGATCCAATCCCAAGTTACAATTTCAAACCGGTTCTTTAATTGTGCTAAAATGAGGTCTTGAGGGATCCGCTTCCTCTTGAGAAGCAAATAAAATGGTCTGATCCGCTGGGAGATTCTCGTTGTTTCCTTCGTTGGTATGGTTCTTCCCTTCCCGGAGTTTCGTCGGAAGATTTTCAAATCCCTTAACATTCTTAGTAGAAAAAAAAAGTGAACTTCAAATAGGAAGAAAGTATGAGGATCCACATGAAAAAGGAAATTGTAAAGAATGGAATGTCGGCGTTGTGATATCACTGGTTGAGGTGGAGGGAGTGTTAAGGTTACATGGCATTTTTCTTAAGAGAAGCACCGCCTATCATCCACAGACAGACGGACAAACGGAGGTGGTGAACCGAAGTGGAGATCTATTTGAGGTGTTTTGCTTCTGAAACACCACGTATGTGGGAAAAATGGTTACCATGGGCCGAGTTTTGGTATAATACTTCGTACCATTCTACTTCTTGTATGACTCATTTTAAGGTGTTGTATGGAAGAGTCCCCCCACACTTAGTGTATTTTGGGAGAGGAAGCACATCAGTCTCTTCACTTGAGCAGTACTTAGAGGAGAGGGACAAGGTGTTGGAAGAGTTAAAGAAACATCTGTTGAGGGCACAACAAATCATGAAGAAGCAGACATATACACATAAGAGAGATATATAATATGAAGTGGGGGAGAAAGTGTTCTTGAAACTAAGGCCCTACAGGCAGAGATCAGTTGTTAATATGAGGAACGAGAAATTGGTCCCGAGGTACTTTGGTCCCTACGAGATTATGGACAAGATCGAAGCAGTAGCATATCAATTGAAGTTACCCCCATCTGCCATCATACACCCAGTCTTCCATGTGTCGCGGTTGAGAAGAGCTCTAGGGGAGCATGCAGTTAGTGCGGAGTTGCCAGCTACATTGACAAAGGAGTTGGAAGTGGTCTTAGAACCACTGGAATTAAGAGAGGTCAGATCGGGTAAAAGGGAAACAAGGAAGTGCTTATCAGATGGAAGGATCTTCCCGATTTCGAGGCCACTTGGGAGCCCGATGAGAGAGTGAAGCTCCAGTTTTCTTATTTTCACCAAGAGGGCAATGCGAGTCTTTGGGAGGGAAGTAATGTTATGCCTGCCCAAGAGGGGCCGGCTGCTCCTATTGAATCGGTCCCTAGTGGACCGGTTTACTACTACAGCCGCCGGCCCAAGAAAGGGAGAGAGAAGGGGCCGGCTACTCTTATGGGGTCTGGACCTTGATTAAAGATTTCTTTGGAGGGAAATATTTGAATTAGGGGCGGCTGTTTAGGAATTTTGTATTTTTCATTTGACTTTAATTAGTTGATAATGCTACAATTAGGGTTTCATCTTGAATTGGAATCTGAAATTTGAGATATTTTGTGTGCTTGGGCTCTAGTCTCTCGGCTAGAGATTTGGAGAGTCGTTTCTTTCTCTCGAATTGAAGAAATGTGTATCTTTTGTTGTTTTTCTGCATCCGTTAGTGGAATCATTCATTTTTCTCTCCGATTTTCTTAGTTTCCTCAAGGTTGGTTCTATCAAGTTGCTGTTTTGTTTCGAAAACAATAGCTTTTCTTCTTTTGGGTATGTGTTTTCTATCAAAGTTTTATAAGACATTGGGAATTCTATTTAAGTTTTGAACTTATTATCCACAAATTGAAATAGTTCATTGAACTTTGGATGATGTGTTATGTCTGATAAATCAGTATGCATCAAGTTGGGATTTGATATCATCTATAACTTATTATTTAATTCATTTGTGAATAGATTTGTAGGCATGAATTCTTTTGTAGCACTAACAGAACTTTAGAAAATCATAAATTTAATTTATCTTCATATTGAGTTTAGGCATAGTGGATTTGTACATTTATTTCCCCAGAATATGTATGATTTGTATGAGATTATTTACGGAGTTTAGCTATTAACTATGAAAACCATAGATATGAATAAAAGCTAACTTGCAATATATTACTTTCTCTGTTTGATGTCTTGTCCAATTACTTGTCAATGTATTTTTACATCATACTTCTATATTTTGTGTCAGCTGTTGTCACCATTCATTACTATGAAGAACTACATTTTTATTTATTTTCTTTAGCATGATAACTAGAAGAAAATCGTCCTTTCTCTTTTCCAAAACTCAATGACAAAATTTGATGGTCCTTCTTGCCGGTTCTTCCTACCCCCCCTACATGGCATGTAATGATCAATTTTTTTTTTGTTTATATTACTGTACATCTTTATTAAAATCATTCCATTTGGGTTCAAATTCAAATTCAAGCTTGTGCTTCTAAAGTATGATTGATTCCATTTTGTATAAGTAGAAATGTCCTCATGTCTTGATTATTCGACAAGTTTTACGCTTGCTGTCGACTACCTAACGCAACCCTCCACTTTTCTCATCCAGGATTTGGGACCTGGCAACGGCAGTGGAGTAGCTCCAGTGGAAGATAAGATTAGAGAGAGTCGCCTTAGATGGTTTGGTCACATTAAATGGAGGCCTTCCAATAACCCGGTTAGGAAAGTTGAGGTTTTAATTTTGTCTTATGTTAAGAAAGGTAGAGGTAGACCTAAAAAGACTTGGTTAGAAAATATTAGAAATGATCTTTCTTTATTAGATTTAAATGAGATTTTGACTTTTAATAGGACACAATGGCGAAAAAGGATTCATGTAGCCGACCCCACGTAGTGGGACAAAGGCTTGCTGTTGTTGTTGTTGTTGTAGAAATGTCCTCATGATTTCACATAAAAGAAATTTGCTGGTATTTAATGACAAAACTGTATTAAGGTACAAGTTTAGAAGTTATAGAAATCAGTAATTCGCGGGTTCAGTAAATTAGACAACTTTGCTATGCTTTAAAATGCATTTGACATAACGTGCATTTTCCTAATATACAATGTTTTTTTCTTCATAATCATTAACGAACCGGTTCATATTCCAGGCTTTATAACCAGCAGTGGTACTTTGGAACTGGCAAGATCTAATGCTCTTTGGATGATGAGTAGTGTGACCGTTGGTTTGAGACATTTATCTCCATGTATGTCATTCCTGATGAAGGAAACTTTTGGGCGCCTTTCAAGCTTAAAGTATAAAGCCTCATTGCTTCAGCCCATTGAACTAAACAAGTTGAACAGAACCATTTCAAGCCATGTTAAATCAACAGTTGAATCTTTTCAAGACTTCAGAGATCAGGGCTGGCCTCCTGGGCAAGGTATAAAAGCTTTTCTTTGTATGCTGATGTAAAATTTTCATAAATTTTGCTTCTTTGAAATATTTGTGAACGTATATTCTGGCTTCACCTTTTTATGCATTTGTGGATGTAAGGCTGTGGATGTTGCTATCTACGTGGTCTCCTTTTTATTTTTATTTTTTAAATTAGGCTTTACTGCTAGCATTAGCATTATCTATTTTCTGAACTATTTATGTTTCTTTTAAACTAAGTTGAAGGCTTAGAATGTTAGTCTCACAGATCTAAGGATTGTTGCTTTTAAGATTTGATGTTAGCAATACTAGTATCCAATTTTTATGATGTAGTTGGATCAAATGTCTTTCGTGGAAAGATACCAGGAAAAGAAAAGGGTAGAGAGAGAGAGAGAGAGAGAGAGATTAGGTCTCACTAGTTCTCTTAAGTGCATGGGTTTGCATTAGTCCCGATTGAATCCCACATTGAAGGGTGAGTCAAATGGAGCTAGGGAGAGAGAGAGAGAGAGAGATTCTAAGGAGAATCTTAAAGAGTTTGAGAGATGCTTTAGTGGGACAGAGTTTCAATACAAAGTACATGATCAAATGATGCTTGTGCTTGATCTATATCCCCTATTTATAAGTAAGAATGAAGGTCCTCGATACATAATTGGTTACATAGTCTTATTACATAAAAATACATCACTTGGACTCATATAGTGATGCAACCTAAGTTTCTAAATATTTTATGGATAACACTTGAGAATGCAATTAGAAAATTCTTCCTTTCAACAAAGCATAAACATCCACATGTTAAAAAAAAACTAAAAGTAGAAACAAATTTTATGAAACAGCTTACGAAATCTATAGGGAAAAACATATAGGAAAATGTAAATAAGGCTACCCTCAGAACAACAAACAAGTGGTCACCTCACATGCAAAGTTCGAAAAAATTAGGATAGGTTCTCAAAGGAAAGATCTAACTCAGAATCCACCATTGAAACGATCTGGCACAAGTCCACCCTCCTCCAGCAAATACCAACCAAAACGTGGCAGCAAACACCACTAAGCTCACAAGAGAAGATGGATACATATGAGGCAGGAACTGTGGAAAGAGAAAAAGAGGTAGAAAACCGAGACGAAGTAGTAGAAGAAAAGGGGAAATGAGGCTAGCTCGCAAGCTAGAAGAACCTGTAGGTTTGTATGCAAACACTTCACTAAAAACTCCCTAAACCGTAGGAAAACAACCCCTATTTATAGGGAAAAGAGCAATTAATGTAGGAAGTTAAAACATCTCTCATCCAACCACTAGGAACACATCAAAACCACAACAAAACCGAAGGGACAGCTGCCTAGGGAAAACTGAAGCATCAACACAACAACCAATGAACATAGAACCGAAGGGACATTTGCTAAGGGGGAAACCAAAGCATCAACACAACAACCAATGAACACAGAAACCGAAGGGACAGCTGACAAGGGGGAAATCGAAGCATCAACGTAGCAGCCAATGAACATAGAAACCGAAGGGACAACTGCCAAGGGGGAAAAACGAGGAAAAAAAGGCCCACGAGGAATCAACCCAGCAGCCAACCAAGGGAAAACCAAAAAAAAACAAAGTGAAGGAAAGGGAGAGACAATCCTAAGAGCACCAACCTAGCATGATCATCGGTTGTCTTCCATCATAGGGTAACCAAAATAAAAATTACAATACATAATCAATCAAAGTCATAAAAAAGTACATAAATAGTTGACTAAATCATATTAGCTATTTGTGTAGCAAGCAAGTATTGCTCGTAATTAGCCGGTAGTTGGGAACTTCAAGCGAGCTCCAGATTATGGATGAGCATCTTTTGTGAATTCTTTTGCCAAGAACCCCTAGTTGATCGGCGAGTACTTAGGATGAGTAACCGAGCTCCTTGTACAAATAGCTTTGGTGATTAGGCAGTGCCATGAGTCGTTGTGCAAGTTCAGTAGCTCACTATTATTTCTTGGCGATTTGAGATATTTGACTTTGGATCAATCTATCTTAGGTTACTTGAAGCTTAGCAAGTCCCAGTTGTTGATGATGGTTTAAACCTATTCATGATCATTGACTTGTTGAACCTAATGCAAGTTCTAATGCTGAAAAGATAAGAAAAAAGATATTGAAATTTTTAAAAACCCAATATAGCTTTTGGTGTTTTAGACTTGATATGGTGTGTTGACTCTACAAAATGAATTGATCTTCAACAGGTTGTTGACATGTCAAAACAATGCTTTTGAATGCGTGCATTGTGGTTAATTTTGGATAGATTTGTTTCTTCTGCTTCTATCAACATTTTTGTCTTAAGTTTCTTCTGAGCTCTTGATTATGCAAAAAGATAAAGAAGTTCGATCAACTTCAAGCTCTACTTAGGCTGGTTAAATCAGGAGTTTGCAAAGAATATAACTTCAGTATTGCTGAGGGATCTACATCGACAAAGATGCCTTTATTGAAGAAAGTTAAGATCGAACCAGAAAGGAAAGGTCTTGACGAGCTAGGTCCTCCATTAAGCAAGGTGATTGCTAAAGAAAGCTTTAGGACTAATAGGACTATTGCTAGGAAGGTTCTTGATAAATTGAGGTTGCTACGAAGGAATTGGACACTCTAAGTAACCATAAAAAGTACTCCAACGATGGAGCTTAGAATTAAAATACCCCCTTTTTTTTTTAGAATTGAAATACCCCTTGAACCATGATTGAGTGAAAAATTCAACATTCTAGAGTTTTCCATTGCAGCAAAAATCAAAAGTTTTTTGTGGCATCAGAGTTTGACATACTTTACAATAAGGTTCTGGTCTCTGATCTAATATATGACCTTGCAAAAGGCTTAAACAAGGCAACTCTCTTGGTGCTTAGGCCAACTTCAATGGAAATTGGGGCTGAGTTCTTTGAAGTCGTCCTACTAGAAAATGATCAAGTCGAGAGTGTGAGAAATCAGTAAGGAGCAGCTTGCCTGATAATAATGACAATCACTTTTGCAGCGGACCAAGCAGGTGATGTTGACTTTCACTTGCGTTGTTGGCGAGCACAAGTTAAATTCGATAGTCACAACAACTTTTGACAAGGAAGTGTTTCCAGCCATAAAGATGGGAAATTTTGAAGCAGCTTCCTCCACCATGAAGTCACCTGAGGGGGAGTCTTGCATGTTGAACCTTGTGAGTAAGTTTGAGGAGTTTCTTGTCAAAATTGAGTCCCTAAAGATGGTGGCAAGAAATTTTGAAGTCACCACAGAGATCTTAAAGGCTAGAACGGCGGAACAAATGAAGTTATTTATGAAGAGGATTGAAAACTTTGAAGCCTTCAACCAAATCGATAGTGTGTGCCTTGTTGAAATAGAAGCCAGGCTCAACTAGCATCTTAGTTGCCTTGTCGAGATGCATGATAGGTTCTACCAAAGTTTTCACAAAGGGCCAATGGGTTAAGGATTATTTTGATGAGGAAGTTCTTAGTTGGATTTCAAAATATGTTAATTAACAACCTGTGCCAAGTTCATTCTATGTCAATTGATCCAGAGATCTTCCTTGATGAGGGCTTTACTATTAGAGTTTTAGAGATTTTCAAGCTCCCCAGCTCACTTTTGATATGGATTTGTTCTTTTATTGAGCCTAGTTCAAACTCGGCTTATGGATTTGTGTTTTTATTGAAACTAGTTCAAACTCGGCTTGTTGTTGACCCGTAACTTTAAAAAAAAAAAATGAAAAATAAAAATACCTGTCCGGCGCCGAATTCAGCACGTCGCCGACATGTCCGCGTCATTTCTCCCACGTTCACCTCTCTATCGCATTAAGTGTCGAAGAAACGAGATTGCCCACTCTCTCGTTTGACTCTTTCACTGACTCTCGCTCTTGCTCTCGCTCATTCCCTCTCCCCACCTCTCGTATGCTCCTTCATCGTCGCTCGGCTCTGCTCCTTCGACGACTTATCCTTCCTATCGGATCGGAAGTTACAGAGCTTTGATCGGAAGAAACAACTGAAGCTCGTTGGTTCGGCACCTTCGTGGACGCTCGACTTTGCTTTTCTCGACAACTTTCCCTGGCTGTCGGATCGGAAATACAGCATTTTGATCGGAGGCCACAACAGGGAGCTC